AGGGTAATTAAGACTCGTTAATCAGGTGGCATAACCAGTGTGTGATGAACGTTAGCTACAATCACTGACATTAATCGTACTGGGGTTTACCTGTGTGGTTAATGAGCTCCCGTTGATCATCATCGTTGAACCTCATAGACTCTCTTACCTGGATGAACGGCGGTGAACATAATTAGTGGAACTGTTTAATGATCAAGGTGTTTAACGAAAGACAACTCAATAAATTTTTGTTAATGGTGCTTAAAAATGATGAACTGAACAGGATGGAACAAATATTAACTGGATGGAACAAACAATAACAGGACGGAACAAACAATAACAGGACGGAACAAACAATAACTGAATGGAACAAACAATAACTGGATGGAACAAACAATAACTGGATGGAACAAATATTAACTGGATGGAACAAACAATAACTGGATGGAACAAACATTAACTGGACGGAACAAACTGCAACCAATTCCTCCTTTAATTTGTTTAACGAATTGAATGATGTAGATGTTTGGACACGAAGGCATTATGGCCCTCGAGTGATTGGATTTGGATTAGTACATAATCTCTCTCCCATAATCTGTTGACTCTCGTGGCCCAGAGACGTATACATACATACATACATACATACATACATACATACATACATACATACATACATACATACATCATGCATAGGGGTCACTCCACACCGGCCTGTCGAAAACAACAAACTCAACCATTAAGCTTAGCTATAACTAACTTCAGCGGGAATATGTAAATGAGGCACCTCTCTCGGCGAGACACTCATAGTGAGACACCTCCCTCGGCGAGACACTCATAGTGAGACACCTCCCTCGGCGAGACACTCACAGTAAGACACCTCCCTCGGCGAGACACTCACAGTGAGACACCTCCCTCGGCGAGACACTCACAGTAAGACACCTCCCTCGGCGAGACACTCACAGTAAGACACCTCCCCAGGCGAGACACTCATAGTGAGACACCTCCTCGGCGAGACACTCATAGTGAGACACATTCTGAACCGTAGAGAGAGAGAGAGAGAGAGAGAGAGAGAGAGAGAGAGAGAGAGAGAGTGTATAATATATTTAGCTTCAGCCATTAACTCTCAGAGCTTCAGTATACGAAGCAAGGAGTTGATGCCCCCCACCACCACCACCCGAGGCTTCCCTTTGTGGGCAGGATGTGACAGGAAGAGGATAGGTAGTGGGTGGAGTGTGACAGAAGAAACAGAAACATACAGACGGATATAATTAGAAAAGAGAGCAGACCAATAGATAGAGACAGACAGACAGACAGACAGACACACAGACACAGAGACACACACAGACACACACAGACAGACACACACAGGAAATAAGTATAAGGAGAAAAAATAAAACGGAAGAGACACCCAAAGTTTCCCTTCTGACTAATTGAAACGATGAATTAATCCGAACAACTTTTACCTGAAGGTCCTGAAGGAGAGGCGAGAAGGAAGGATCTTTGATGCCTTGTAATGGTATGGAGATTACTAGACCAAGCGGGGGCCCCGGTCATCAACCATAGGAAACACACCAGGTGGAAGGAGGGAGAGAGGAGGAGGAGATGGAGATAGAGAGATAGGAGGAGGAGGGAGAGGAGAAGGAGATGGAGGTGAGGGGCTGGAGGAGGAGGAAGAGTTGGAGTAAGTGGAGAAGAAGAAGGAACTAAGTAAAGGAAAACATTGACTCTGGGAGAGAGTGTGTGTGTGTGTGTGTATTATATTTCGCTTGGGGAAATAACAAATATATCGAAGAAATATATTCTTAGGGGAACGCTCAATGTCTCCTGGGAGAAAAATATGGCCGCCAGAGGACACATAAACTATACCTTTGAAATATATTACTGATGTTAAGGTCGATATTAGGTTGTGGTCAATATATTTCAGGTGATAAATTGATGTTGAATAGTGATGGGTGGTGAAGCTTGACGGAGCTAACATAACTCTTGACGGAGCTAACATGAGTCTTGACAGAGCTAACACAACTCTTGACGGAGCTAACATGAGGCTTGACGGAGCTAACATGAGTCTTGACAGAGCTAACACAGCTCTTGACGGAGCTAACATGAGGTTTGACGGAGGGAAAGGGAGCCACAAGGGACATGCTCGCTCCACCTGGCTCTCCCGGTCGGCTGCCACAACTGGGTGTCGAGAGGTCTGCATAATTCATTCATTCAGATATATGGAGATTGAGGGAGAGGCTTGGTAAATAAAGACAAACATTTGGCATCTATCCTTATCTTCTTTCCTTTCTGTGTGTGTGTGTGTGTGCTCTCTCTCTCTCTCTCTCTCTCTCTCTCTCTCTCTCTCTTCTCTCTCTCTCTCTCTCTCTCTCTCTCATTATAAAGGGAATCAATAATTATTAAGATATGTGTGGGTAGGTGGGGGGGGGGTGTCGTCCCAGGTGACTCTACCTCATTATAACAATTACTGAGGAAGGCCAGTATGGTGGAGGGGAAGAGGGGAGGGGAAGAGGAAGAGGAGGAGGAAGGGAGAATGGAGAATAAAGGAAGGAGATTGAGGAAAGGATAGGAAGACGGGGAACAAGAAGGTAAGAAGAAACATGGCGGTAGTAGAGGGGAATGGGGGTGGTAGGGGAGGAGGGGGTGGGTGATGTAGGCAGGTAAATAAGAGAGAGAGGGAAAGGATTAGAGATAGAAGAGGGAAGGAAGGAGAAAGGAAGGAGGTAGGGAGGGGGGATGTTAATGGAGATAGTAGTTAAAGCAGGGAGATGGAGGAGGTATATAAGCAGAAGAAAAAATTCGGATATTGACTCCCCTGTCTTTCATGGGGAGAGAGGTGAGGACATTTTCATGGGGGTGAGGAGGAGTGTGGGGAGGTTATTTTTCATGGGGATAGGGGGGTTGTTGACATGGGCTACATGAGTAAGTTAGACTGGAAAAGCCTCTATCTAATGGTACAGAGAGGAAGGACGAAGGAGAATCCTATCGACGTGAAGAAAGGAAACTTGTGGTAACTCTTGTGTGTTTTCCTGTGGAACTGTTGAGAGAGAGAGAGAGAGAGAGAGAGAGAGAGAGAGAGAGAGAGAGAGAGAGAGAGAGACAGAGAGAGAGAGAGAGAGAGAGAGAGAGAGAGAGTTTAGTGATGCGGGAGGAAAGAGAGAAAAGGGGAGAGATATAACTGAAGAAAGATAAGAAAATTGAAAACGCGAGAGAGTGAGATGCAGAATGATAAAAAGAGAACGAGAGAAAGAGAGAAGGGAACGGATGAAAGCGAAGGAAGAAAATGACAGAAAGAGACATTTGATGAGGGAGAGAGAGAGAGAGAGAGAGAGAGGGGGGGTTGAGGGCAGCTGGCACCACCTGTGGATTACTGGTGGCACTACAATGCTTACTTACCACAGTGCCTGGTAGTGAGTGACTCTGACCCACTTATCCTAACCTAACCTAACCTTAACATATGTTTACCCATAAGACGTGAAAGTATGACAAAAATATACAAGTGTGAAAGAAGAAGAAGGTATGAGAGAGAAGAAGCGATAACGAGGAGATAAAGAAGATTATATAATAAACAAGGTAACAATAGAAATAAGAAAAATGATATATACTAGACAAGGAGGAAAAGAAAGACGAATAAAGAAAATATAAAGGAAGGAGAGCAAGCAGACGAGACAACAACGACAACAGGAAAAACAACGGAAGAAAATAAGGAAATGTGAGAAGGAAGGATATACGAGGAGGAGGGGGAGGAGGAGGAAGACAAGAGCGGGAGAAAGAGGAGGATAAGGAAGACGAAGAAAACAATAGGGAGAAGAGGAGAGGAAAACAGAGACGAAAATAGAAGGAAGACAAGAGGAGGAAGAGGAGGAATGTGAAGATGACGATAGGAAGAGGAAGACAAGATCAGGAGGAAGAGGAAGACAAAAGGAAGAAGAGGAGGAAGAACCCGGAGAAAATAGGAAGAGGAAGACAAGTGGATATAATAGAAGGAGGCGGACGAAGAAGACAATAGGAAGAAAAGAAAGAGGAGGAAGATGAAGAAGACAATAAGAGGAGGAAGACAAGAGGAAGAGGGGGAGTACGGAGGCGAGTCTGGCGCGTCATATACTTACTCGCTTGACCCTTGAACTTCCCGAAAGACAAACCTGAAACGTCCCTAGTGAGTCCTCTCTCTCTCTCTCTCTCTCTCTCTCTCTCTCTCTCTATCTGTAGTTGAAGCTTGGGCCCAGTTTTTTTAGCTATGTAATATATATATTTGAAGCTGTTTCATATAGTTTTGAAGCTGTTTCTGGTATCTCGAGGCTTCACTTTTCATTTTACTGAGAGCATTATATTTTACGAGCCTCTTACCCCTGAGGTGTACTGTAGCGTGCGGATGATCACTGTAGGTTTTTTTTGTAACCTCCCTGTGTCTTTTTTAATCTCCCTATCTCTATTTCATCCTCCCTATTTCTTTATCATCTGTGTTAGTCTCTGTGGGACGTTGATGAGCAGGCTGTTGGGATCTTGTCGTGGCTCGTTAGTCTCTCTTTAGTACGTGTATGTGGTTCTGTAAGGCCCCCAAAATGCTCCCATGAGACTCTCCTTCTACCTACTTTCCCCCTTCCCTTCCTCTTTCCCTTCTTTTGTGAGGTTCTTTAATCTTCTTTACGATGTCTTGTGTGTCCAGGAACCATCGTCTTGGATCCCCCCCCCCCGCCTTAAGACTGCTCTCAAAGTCTCTTACGTAACCCATGGACTTTTTTTTACCTTATACTCTTCTGGTGATATCGTCTTGATGTTCTTAATTTGATATTGAATGAAAAAAACACACAACAATAAAAAAATGTAAACATCTTTTTAATCATAACAAGGTATTCCTCCAGAGTCTCCCCCACTCACTTCCTTCTTTCCATATTTGCATGTGAGGTGCATTCCCCCACCACCCCCCACCCCTGCTACTAACCCCCTTCCCCTACCCCCTTCCCCCTTAGAATGCTCCTCCATTGGGCCCCCTTACTAACACTCCCTCCCACCCCTGGCAGATTGTCCGGCGGCGGAAGATCAGATGGAGCGGTTTCCATGCCCGTCACCTGACAGGATGGGTCGCTACTGGTGCATCGATGACCATGTCCTCTGTGACGGTTTCATAGACTGTCCTGACGGCGAGGATGAGGACAGACAACAATGCATGTTCTTTAAAACGGTGAGTAACCCCTTTCGAAACCTCCTATAGTGGCCTCTGTGTTCTCTAGTGATGTAATTTGCCGTAGATTTAATGTGTTCTTGTCTTTTTTTGGTGTGTTCAGTGCATGTATGGAGTGTTGTTAACTTATGTTCTGTAATAGTGTTATAGATTAGGTGTTAGTGTTGTAGATCAGGTGTTATTGTTGTAGATCAGGTGTTATTGTTGTAGATCAAATGTTGGTGTTGTAGATTAGGTTTTAATGTTGTAGATTAGGTGTTAGTGTTGCAGACGAGTATGAGTGTTCAGGATATTGATGTAGTGAGTGAGGGTAGTGTGTGTTTCGCCTGGCTGACCAGACTCACGTACATATAGCCACTCAAGTACATGCAACCACTCACGCACATATAGCCAATCACGTACATATAACCACTCACGTACATATAGCCACTTACGTACATGCAGCCACTCACGTACATATAGCCACTCACGTACATATAGCCACTCACGTATATATAGCCACTCACATACATGTCTACAGTTAGCAGTAATGAAGAGCCAACAACTCACTTCTCTTGGCTAAATTTACTCTCTACACACTCTTAAATATTACATCATAGCACAAAGTTTAATGGCTGACCTACAAGCTCTTGAATATAGAAGTTGTAATAGTCTTTCTTTGTTGTTGTTTTATCAACTTTTGACATTGGTACAATATTTTCCAGCGAGTTTTATCATTCATGACAAAGATTTAACCGAGAGACAGTTGTTCATCATGGTACAACAATGGAGCATTAACCTTCGGAGGGTAGTATAACTTATAGTGAACTCAAGGCTTGGGTTAATAACATCCAAGAGGTCAAACACCCAAGAGGTCAAACACCCAAGAGGTCATTGGTGTATTATGAGTGCTCGGGTGGAGAGAATTAGCTCGTGAGGATGTAGGGTAAAGCCGCCGGCCAGGGGAGATGTCTCACAGGGCGCCTCATTTACCACACATGACTTACTCAATGGGTACCACCGGCTTGCCCAGAGAAGTAAAGCCGGGAGGCGTGGGCTGCTCTTGTTGTACGGCTTCATCCTCCCCTACTACTGCTGGTGGTGCTGTTGGATGAAAAGCTAAATAGAACAAGATTAGTGCCACGCTTACTGTACCTGCTTCTGTTGCTGGCTATACATACATACATGCATACATATACATACATACATTCATACATACATACATATATACATACATACATACATACATACATACATACATACATACATACATACATACATACATACATACATACATACATACATTCATACATACATACATTCATACATACATACATACATACATCCCTCAGACAAAGCAAATGCCCTAATGAATGGAAAACCGCATTTGTCACCCCCCATCCCCAAGGTCACCACCCCACAGTCCCCTAACGACCTCAGGCCAGTTGCCATTACCCCCATACCCAGTCTACTTTGTGAGGACTTTGTTTTTGAGTGGACATTTGCCAGTATCTATCAGTCAATTGATTCACAGCAATTTGGCAATATGAGGACCTCCTCTACATCACACTGCTTGGTGAGCTTTCTGGATTTTCTGCACAAAAACTTGCAGAAACGAAAGACATCACTGGCCGTTGCCCTTGTGGACTTCAGGAAGGCCTTTGACCTTGTTGATCACTGCACTGTTATCAACAAGGCTATTGCACTTGGGCTGCCCACCAACCTGGTCTCATGGCTCACTGATTTCTTGAGTGGACGTCGCCAAGGAGTGAGGTATCAGGGCTTGGTCTCTACATTCCAACGCCTCACCTGCGGTGTTCCCCAGGGGACCAAGATGGGACCACTGTGCTTCCTCATCCTGATCAACGACGCTCTATCGGACACTCCTCACAGGTGGAAGTACGTGGATGACTGCACTGTGGGGGTTTCAGTGGACAACACCGCACCAGACTACTCATCGCTCCAAGGCACCCTGGACAGGCTACAGGCATGGACTACGGAGAACAAGGTCACCATCAACCACACCAAAACCGCAGTCATGCACATCAATACCGCCACCACTCCAGTGCAAGCCCCAGCAGTCACAGTGGGTGCCCATCCTCTCCAGGTGGTGCAGTCTGCCAAACTCCTGGGTGTAACTATAGACAACAAACTTGACTAGAAGGCCCATGTAAATAACACAGTCAAGGCAGCCTCGTACCGTCTCTACATGCTACGAAGACTTAGGTCACTTGGGACACCCACGCCAGAGCTGAGGACCATCTACAACGCCTTTATTCTCCCCAAACTAACGTATGCGTCACCAGCCTGGTCGTCTTCTCTCAACTCCACCCAACAACGTCAGCTAGAGAAGGTACAGAAAAGGGCCTGCAGAATTATGCTCGGCACAGAATACTCCGGCTACACCAACGCTCTCTCCACCCTGGAAATGCCATCCCTCAGCGACCTCCACCACCAAGCACTGGAAAGGTTTGGCCGTGGACTACTGCACCACCCTCGCCATCGCCACCTCCTGCCACCTGCAGCCCCCCACCCAACTCGTGCAGTCCGCCACTACAACAAAATTCAGCCCATAAGAGCCCGCACCGATAGATATAAGAACAGCACCATCCTATCTATTGTTAAAATAATAAACAACTCCTGATTTATGTACTGTACAGCCCTGTAAATGTATTCAATGCATATTATATCATTATGTCTAAATCAAATGTAAGTCTGTATATTTTCAGCCACCGGCTGCAACTCTATTAATAAACCGTTTATTATTATTATTATTATTACATACATACATACATACATACATACATACATACATACATACATACATACATACATGCATACATACATACATACATGCTTACATACATACATACATATATACATACAAAAAACCTCTGCCTGTGCTCTCTGTTTGTGTGTGTGTGTGTGTGTGTGTGTGTGTGTCGTGCGTCACACAGGTAAGTTATGTCCCAGCAGTCCACTCCCGCAGCTCAGAGTGCAAATTTGAACTAATTAAGAAGCAAATAACTATCTCCTAATTTTGTGGTCTGGAATTACGCAAATAATTTTCTAATTAAAGAGATGTTCGCCTCTCTCTCTCTCTCTCTCTCTCTGGGAAACAATTAGTTACCGGGGTTGTGTTGGAGGGAGAGGTCGTCCCCACACCACTATTACCTATTCATATATTCAGGAGGAACCAGGTGAAATTAATTAGTTTCTTAGTGCAGGTAGGCGATGGCCGCTTCTCCCTCCTCTGTGTTAGATTATTTTTATAAATCTATTTTTTTTTCATTAATGGAACTTTGTTTATGGTGAAGTGAAGGTGAGGTGTGTGAGGTTAGGTAGACGAGGACGAGTGAATATAGTGACGTGGTATTCAAGCTGTACTCAACCAATCAGAGTGTCGTCCTCATATCTGGGGGTTGGCGACCACAGGTAACTCCAGCTGATTTGTTTTAGAGGATCTTTTTAGTGTCTGTCCTAATTAGAAACACCTGTGTCTTTATTATTATAGGTATCCCGATAAAATACCTGTGTAATAAAGCCTAAGTGTGTGTGTGTGTGTGTGCGTGTGTTGCCAGGCGTGGAATACTGAGAATCCTTGTATGATGGATGGAGGGTGTATGTGTGTGTGTGGTGGATGATGGGTGTAGCCAAGGTGAGAGCAGTGTGGGAAGTCTGTTAAGAACTAAGTCATTGTCCTTTCTCTCCCTCCTCTCCTTTCTCTCCCGCCTCTTCTTCCTCTTGTTCTCCCCTTCTCTCATTTCTCCCTCCTCTCCTCCCTCTCCCTGCATCCCTTTTATCCCGCCTGACCGCCTGCACCTGTACAACTGGCCATCTCGCCCTCTCCCTTACCTGGCCTCACCCCCTACTTCAATCACCTCTCTCTCTCTCTCTCTCTCTCTCTCTCTCTCTCTCTCTCTCTCTCTCTCTCTCTCTCTCTCTCTCTCTCTCTCTCTCTCTCTCTCTCTCTCTCTCTCTCTCTCTCTCTCTCTCTCCCCTCTCTCTCCCTCTCTCTCTCTCTCTCCCTCGTTGTCCTTTTTACAGCTCCTATTCTTATCACCCTGACATTTCCTTCTGCTTCCCTCACCCTTCATCGTTCTTTTAACCTCCCTTTTCTCACCCCCTCCTAATATATTATGTCAGCGTTGCTATTTATTCACCCTAATTCTTCCTATATGTTTCACTTCCCTATTTATTCATCTCTCTCTCTCTCTCTCTCTCTCTCTCTCTCTCTCTCTCTCTCTCTCTCTCTCTCTCTCTCTCTCTCTCTCTCTCTCTCTCTCTTCCTGTTCTTTTCTTTCCTTCTTTCTTCATAATTTCGATCCTTCCTATCCCCTCCCACAGTCTCCCACCCCCCTACAGTCTCCCAGAATAGGATAGGATGGGATAAGATAGGATAGGGCAGGATAGGATAGGGCACTGGAATATACTGTGAGGTGTACAAAAGTGGAGGTGAGGTAAGGAGGCGGGGGGTTTGAGCCTGGCAACAGGGGTAAGTGCAACCTTCACTTTAGGAGTAAACCCAAACTTATGGAGGTCAACTGAGTGCAACCTCTGGAAAATGAGAGAGAGAGAGAGAGAGAGAGAGAGAGAGAAATGACTGTAACATGTGACCTCTAACAACAGAACAAATTGAGTGAAATATTACGGATACACAACAACATCTATTAGTGAGAAGAGAATATATAGACGTCCTTCTTATAAGCTATAGGTAAGGGAAAAGTGGACATTGTTTACTAATATATAAATAATCTCCTTGTACAGGTAAATGATATTTGATTCGTAACAATGTCGTCACTGTCTGCCACCTGATAGTGAGACACACGAGCCCCGTTGACCACACAGGGACCGAGCAGAGTAAAGAGGAACCACAATGACATGTAACAGCCCAGACAACAGAGGACACAAATTGACATCCCACACCCGACACTCTCTCAGATTTTCCGACTCGAAGTTCTCAGATTCCGATGTCCACATGAGACGGCCGGGTACACAAGATGGTCAAGGTCAACCCCTTGCGGCCAAGGAGCGGACAAAGCCTTTTCCTCCCGCACAAGTTCAGGAAATAAACCATTTCCTCTTTACTCCCGGATATTTCATTAGCGGCAGGGCGATATATTCAATAAATAAAACAGAAAATGGATATAGGAAAATTGGGAACATGGTGAGGTGTGTGTGTGTGTGTAGTACGGTAGACAAACATGTTAAGAAAGTACACCGACCCTGCTGTCCCTCCCTGAAACTCCCACCAGTCTCTCACCTACACATCTCCACATCTATCAGTCCACCCCAATAACCAACTCATCCCCACACACACCTACCCCCCCCACACACACACTAACACATCCCCCACACACCCACTCAACCCCCTCCCCAACACACTTTCTTTTCCCCCCAAAACTTCCTCATAATCGTAAAACTTTGCATTTAAGTAGAAGATACAATTTAAGTAACTGGACCTTTTTTTCTGTAATAGTATCCCACTCTAAACACGTCTGTATTTTCTATGATGTGTTAGTGGTGTTGCTCAGCTGAGGGGAAACATAACTTGTCGAAAACCTGACGAGTTTTTTATAACGAAACAACCTGACGTACACATTGTGAGGCTCTGGTTAAGATAATAAGATACGTAATGATTTTAAGTGTTCTGTGTGTGATAAGTCGTACATACATACATGCATACAAACATGCATTCATTTTTATCTTTAATCATTTCACACGCACATATTACTCTCACTTTACCAGAAGAGGCATATATTTGTGTATGTATGTATGTATGTATGTATGGATGTATGTATTTATGTATGTATGTATAGAAGCTTTTAAACTTATCTGCATGTTTTCGCTCCTGTGTTAATACAACATTTTACAAGAAGACTGGACGAGCGAGCAAGTGATTCTTATACCTTACCTCCCTACCACTACTACTACTACTACCACCAGTAGTACCATTACCATCACCACTACTACCACAACTTTTACTATCAAAATACACCACCACCACAAGACATCCCCACCACCACCTCTCCTCCCCATTCCCCCATCACCATAACACACTACACCCCCTTCCCCCCTCCCCTTCCCCCTTCCTGGTGCTGGCTACCCTCTTCCCTCTCATTCATAATTGTCATATGTTAATTTCCATTTATATCTCTAGAGCGTCCTGGGCATTGGGGGAGAAGAGAAGGGGAGAAGAGAGAGAGAGAGAGAGAGAGAGAGAGAGAGAGAGAGAAAAGTGCAGTCTGTGTTTGTCTGTGAATATATAATTGTCTGTAAAGTTGTCTGTCTTAGTTGCAAAATAACACTAGGAGTATTTGCTGTATATTAAATGTATTCTACGACTATGGTGTTATATACAATAGGTGTGTGTGGATGGGTGATTGGTTAGGTAAGGTTAGGTAATTTGGGGTCAAGTTTAAGTGATTGTGTGTGTCGTCCCTTGTTAACTACTGCTTGCTTTTTCTGCTACTGGTTGCATTACTGCTAGTTATCATTTTTTGCTACTGCTGCTACTATTACTTTTACTATTTTTACTGCTTATACTACTACTGTTCCTATTACTATTACTACTACTAATACATATAGCTTACCATACCCTTGTTTATTATTATTATTATTCCCAACATTGCCACTACTGTTTTCACAAAGACAATACGTGAATCAAGTTTAGTGAGAATTATGTTAATAATACAATAAACAGTAATAACACACGTCATGATAATTGTTAGTACGGTATAATAAAACGTGTGATGATAATAATATTAACTTTAATTATATTTGTAATAGTAATTGTAATAATCGTAGTAGAGTATTAGTACTTTTAAATGATGATAATAATAATAATAATAATAATAGATATAAAAATGAAAACGATACTGATAATGATGATAATTATAATAGATACAATAATAATAGGTAAGAGTAACAATAATAGTGATTATGATGATGATGATGATGATGATGGTGACAATAACACTAATAACAAACTATATTTGTTTGTCCACAGACGAAAGCTCACTTGGATGTGCTGGCAGACGCTATCATCCGGTGGGCGCGGGGCGGGAAGTGATGATGGTGAAGAATGTTGGAGCACCACCGCCGCCACCCCCTCCCCCATCTCCCTCCCCCCCCCATCTCCCTCACGCAATAGCCGCCTGTCGACCCAGCCTCCGTCCCTCCATCACCACTACCAACGCCACCGCCAACCAACCAGCGTTCGGCCGTTACTTCCTACCAGACCAAAATATATGTAGGGATAAATACGTATATAACTGGAGGGGCAATAATAATAATAATAATAATAATAATAATAATAATAATAATAATTAATAATAATAATTAATAATAATAATAATAATTTGCAATAAAGTTTTAAGCATGAGAGGAGAAGGAACAAGGATTCTCATATTACGGCAAACAATACAATCAGAAGCTGCTGAAGAGGTGTGATATATCCAGACCTCAGGTGGGACTTGACAGACAACAGAATAACACAATAGGACTTTCATTGCAATATTCTCATACCAAGACAGACCGAAAAATGAGAAGAAAAAAGAGGATCCAGGCTAATATTTGCTGCCAGAGTGAGTGAGAGAGGTAACAAGGAGACCAGAGACATAGCTGTAGGAACCACTGGGACCTGACCAACGATTATACGTAAAAAATGTGACCTGTTCCGCGAGCACTTGATGACCTAATGACCCCGACCTGAGCCACGGGGTTCACTAGGTCAATCACTGTGTTCCCGGACGGCCTCTGTTGTTGGACATCTTCGAAGTTGGTTGTTTACGATCTCAAGACGGCGTCCACCTCTATAATAATAATAAAAATAATAATAATAATAGAAAGCAAAACACCGTGAAGGTCTCTGCAGTCTAGCTAGTTGGATATACACGACATCTTCAGTGTTCCTCGGTTTGATGGAAGCACCAGCAGTGACATTTTTTTTCCCATCTGACTTGCTGTGACCAAATGATCATCCCTGGAGTTAAAACAAAACAGATTTTGACGAGCGAAAAAACAGCCAATCAGAATATTCCTTAACGACCTACACGAAGATGGAACCACGCAGTTCTGCCTCCGATCAAGAACCAAAGACGAGTAATAAGGATAATAACAGTAGTAATAATAATGACAGCAATCTCTGGACTTAATCTGTTAACTTTGTTGTTAGTTTAAGTCAGCAGGGAGAAGAGAGAGAGCACAAGGGGGTGTAGGACAGCCGAGGTGACCAGGCTGTGTTCTGGGAGTGACTAGTCCACCGGATGTGTCGCGACTCCTCCTCCACGCCCTTGTCTGTGAGATTATGATAGATTATTACTGAGAGTTATATACTACGTATTTCTCTCCCTTGTTCAGCAGCAATGGGAAAATGTCGCTTAAAACGGATAATCTATGATAATTTCACGTTTTTGAGAATATATGTTTGTTACACACTTGTTTACAACTTGTGGTTAGCAAGGGAAATTGTATCTATATATATATAAGCATTATTTCATATATTGATTGTTGTTTTGGTTCTTAAAACAATGATTTATATCAAAGGTTCAGTAATCATTTTATGCATTACCTTCATAAAGAATTCATCTCCATGGTTACGTTGACCACTTTTAGAAAGTTATTCTATGCCTTTCTATGTAGAGAATAAAATGTAAAAAAAAATGTTCACAATGACCAGTTCAGTGTTCAACCTTGAAAAATAAAAGTGCATAATTCCATTGATAATTGCTTATTAATACACGAGGGAAGAACTGCCAAGGTATCACATCAGAGTCTCAGACAAGTGTTAACTAAGTAATGACCCACACATGTACAGTACCTGTTAGCTGTTAACTGTTCCAGGGTTTATCAGCGTCCTCGTGTGGCTGTCAAGTATTGACCAGTCAAGACTTTTATGATGTTAGCTATCAAGTGTCATTTTTTTTTAGGATTTTGAACCCAATTGTAGCTGTCATGTGTCGACTGCAGGAGTTAGTGAGTCAAGGTGTAGGTGTCTAGTGTCAACAGTCACCTGATGTTAAGAGTCATGTGTGGCAATAACTTGACAGCAACCACGAGCTACACGTCAGCAGCCTTAAGGATCTCGTCAGCTACAAGTCAGAAACTCTTTAAGGTCATGTCAGTTTACTATCAGTATATTGTGAGTTAAGTATCGCCAGCATTCTTGTGTGTTTAGTGTCGACAACTGGAATATCTCGGATGTTAAGTGACAATAACTCTTAAGACACCTTATGCCTAAGTGTATATCCATCAAGTACCAACAGTATGAAGATTTTATAGGTTCAAGTGCGACAGTCAGCGATTAGTACATCCTGTGAGCCAAGTGCAACTGTTCAAGTAATAACAAAGGAGGGAGACTGGGAGGTCGAGTGCGAGAGCTTGTGCGAGGCTGTTTTTCTTCTCTCGTACCCGAATCGCTAGCTACCTACGTCACTTCGAGAGCTGATTCTCACTCGAGAGGTGAATGTTGTTAGGCTTTGAGTTCACCAAGAGCAGCTATTCACTTTCTAATGTACTCGAGCATTGGTCGTTACTTTATGCCTGAGTCAGTGAAGAGTTGAGAGGGTTGACCTCCCCCCCCCCACTAAACTCAAGGTCGTCACTTGAGAGTCAGTCAGGCGAATCAAGATGTAATGACTGCTACTTCACTGAATAATTATACGAGATATTATTCACACGAGAGCGGAGAGTACACAGAACCTGCCGTGTGTGTGAGACAACTGCCACCTGATACCAAAAATTTAAAGGAGGTCCAAGAGCTTATAAGAGACGAACATAGTGTTGGTTACGTGAAAGCCATTACGATCAATAGCCCCTTAAAGGTTCTTCAAAACATTTTCTCCTGGACATTTATCAGCTAAACAGAGCAGCAGCAGCAGCAACCACCAGTAGAGATTAAAGGTACACAGAATTGTAACTAATGAGGTATTTTGTGCAACATTATGAGAGTCTCTGATTGAGTTAAGGTTTCTGTGAATCAATTACTCTTTCAACAACCAGGGAGATTTATGTTATATATACATTTAAAAAAGAAACTAAGTTGATACACAAATCTTGACCAATCAACAAAACGTTTCTCTAATTTAAGACTTTTGAGTAAATCTGAAAACTTTTAGTGTCCCATGAGACTTTGAGCGATACAAGAAGTTTCATTACGCCTAGGACTTTTGAGGAATTCCAAGAACAAACATCAGAATTTTGAGTTTATCATTACCATTCTGTAAACTAGTAACTACAATTACTCCAAACCTCAAAAAAAAAACTCCAAAACTCTGAGTAACAAACACAAGACTAAGAGGGCCTCAACAACGACAGAACCACGAAGAAACTCCCAATTCTGAACAACACAGACACCAAGAACCTCAGCAGTAGGTCTGAGAGAGAGAGAGAGAGAGAGAGAAATACTGAATGCTATTTCTCGCGATACAGAAGAACCTGATAACAGTTAATACACAGTTGTATACAGTGTAACAGAGAGCGACTGTAACAACATGACTTACTTACCGTGTAGCTGTAACGTTCTTAGTACAGTGAGTATGTGTACCCACGAGGATTATTGGGTCATTAATCTGATTGGCTGCGTGAAGTAACTCGTTCCGTCTGTTAGAGATTGTCAGCCACACCTGGCGGATTGTCAGCCATATGTTCCACCTGGCGGATTGTCAGCCATATGTTCCACCTGGCGGATATTGTTAGCCACATGTTCCACCTGGCGGATTGTCAGCCATATGTTCCACCTGGCGGAGATTGTTAGCCACATGTTCCACCTGGCGGAGATTGTTAGCCACATGTTCAACCTGGCGGAGATTGTTAGCCACATGTTCAACCTGGCGGAGGTTGTTAGCCATATGTTTCACCTGGCGGATTGCTAGCCATATGTTCCACCTACCGGAGACTGTTAGCCATATATGTTCCACCTGGCGGAGGTTGAGCTTGTTAAGGTGTGACTGACGGTGGAGTGGTGGTGACTCTTTGGCAATAATGGAGGCGAGGGCAGGACGCTCAAGGGTGAGGGAGCGGGGGGGATGTCTGCCCCTCGCCCGCGCTCCCCCACCCCCAGCCTCCACCACCACAACCACCACCACAACCACCAGTACCACCAACCACGCCCATCATCACAACAACAGCAACACAAGGGACAGAAGCTGGGCCGCAGTAGTACCATGTCCCCGTTTCAAGTGCATAGCATTGTTTTAATTTAATAGGAACATGAAACTGATGATATTTTACTATTATGATACTAAAGTGTTCTCTAAACACCATGCCTGTGTGATACTATGGAAACTGTTTCATGCCGTGCCACGAGAGGCACGTAGTCAGTGAGGGCCGCCGCACACGTGCCCGCTGGCTCCCGCATGCGGCCCGTGTGCGCTGCGTCCCCTAGCGGTACTCCGGGCGGCAGGGCCTCGGGCGGGCCGCCCTCCCCCACGCCCTGCTGCCCGGACCCGCGGCTGTAGCGCTGGCCCGGCCCGGGGGCCTTCAGCCACCGGGCACGGGCCTGGCTCACTGGGGTAATACGCTTTCTGTGTATCCGACACGGTCAACCCGTGTGCTCAGTGTCGCCTCACGCCCACCCTCGCACCGCCCACACCCACCCGCACCACCCACCCTCCCTCACCGCACACACCACTCTCTCCACACGTTCCACAGTTAGCTTGCACTCAGACCCCTGGTGGCCCGCGCCTTCCCCTTCCACACCTTCCTGACGGCGATCTCCTGCACCCACATCTACCCTCTACCCGTGTCCCTCACCACACACCCTCCAGCTCCCCACCACCACCTGCTTCCCTTGGCTATCCTTACCTAAATGGCTCTGCCAGTCTTGTCTACTCCTCCTCATCCTGCCCACCAGCACCCTCCCTCCCTCCCTTCCCTCCTGCACCACTCATCAACTATTGGTTACTCTACTTTCACCACACACACACACCACTGTTTATGCCCCTCGCCTACCTCATTGGTCCTCTACCCCCCCCCAAGTATTTGCGGCGTCACCCCCTCCCCCCTCTTGTACATTTCAATTACCCCTTTTTTATAATTTATTTTATTCTCATTCGTGTTGTATATTTTCCCACATTACCGCCTCTCACCATCTGTTATGAGAACCAGTTATTGCCTTTGTTGTGTGAGTTGTCAGAAACAGATGATATATATATATATATATATATATATATATATATATATATATATATATATATATATATATATATATATATATATATATATATATATATATATATATATATATATATATATATATATATACACACACACCGTCACTTGTTTCAGCTCTATACTGAATATTGCCGGAGTACAGTAGTATATCACTACCTGTCCACGCTACTCATCATTCTCATATATTTAGTGGATAATTTCTACATTTTCTATATATGTGTGTGACCATTATTCCATCTCTTTTGAGTGAGTGATTTTTATGAAGTTATTAAACATATGTTAAAGAGCTTTAATATACGTATTTTGAACAGTAATGTGACTGAATTATTTCCTAAAACTATGAGCATTTCTTCAAGGAGAAAAGATTTAGTGATAATTTTATGTATTTTCTTCAGCTTTTAATGACTTATTTAAAATTGGAGTTCTCTACATGGCAGTCTCAATGGGCTCGTGACAAGTTAGTGTTAACCCACTGTTGATTCCAGGGCCATCTATTGGTCAATTTCTGCACATAATGATAATTATAGTTCGCCTTTAAGTACTTCGTAAACCAGGACTCATGATAGTCTCACCCAGAGCCTTATTCCCGAACCTAACTTAAGGTTGACTAAATTCTGGGGTAGTCTGGCAGGTACACTCACCTGGTCTAGCCAAATCGGCCTCCCAGTGTACAGTTCTAGACTACGATAAATTTTAACTCAATTTCTAGAGGAAGTTTGGAGAATAAAGGCTTGACTATAGAGGAGATATCCAGTTTCTGGCGGGTTGTAGTCATAGGACACCCACACACCCAATGATTTTTTTTTATATATATATTTGTTCCACGTAAGTTGACCCCTTCCTTACATACTGTAAAGACGCGACCAGTAACCTGGAACTGAAGACAACACTAATTCTGGATGATATACTAGTGTTTATATCGATGCAATATTCTCTGTTTAGTAAAGTTAAGTGCATAAGTAATATCATTAGATTATTATTTCCCCTTTCCAATAATATTTCAATATAATAGTGACCTATTCCTCCATTAACTGTACCCTTATTTAATGTAGACCAATATCTTCAATGGCATCATCTAGGGCACAATGTAATGATGGATCGACGTCTAGTTTGGATTCAGTGATGTACATGCTAACTGCTTTGTCAACTCCACTTCTAGAGTCCCTCAGAATGTACTATTCAGTGTAATACTAAGTGTACACCTGTACTATCTCAGTGTACTATACTTACTGATTACTGCACATACTAGAAAATACATATGTGGCAGAATCAGCCATTATAGAGCTATCTGCGGCTCTCCTATAAGAGCCAAACGACCGCGAGCAACACCATGAGAATGATTCTTATGATGATGTGTTACGAAGCTCGATATTGCCTACATTCTACCATATATGAAGTAATACGCACCGATTGTCCGATATAATGCTGGCCTTGCAGCCTGGGTAACGTTTCAGTCCAAATACGCCTATACTGTTAGTCTCGTAAGTCAATATAGAAGTGAGTGTCGTAGGTGATAATAATGTTCTACAGAGAGTACTAGTAGATCAGCTACTTTAATCATCGTCGTATTGTTCAGTATATTACATGTGTTTTGGGGAAATTCTCTCTAAGCAAAGTATAATAATCTGTTGGTTTATGTTTTTCGTTGGTTTTAGGAAGCGAGAATTTTGATCCGAGGAGAACAGACAGTGTGGATCATTTTATCTCGGACACTCACCAATGTTACAAGAACGGAGCCGTGCTAGGACAGTCATAACTACCACACTTGTTGTCATTCAGTTCGTTCCTCTTGGTATCGTTTATTGGCGATTCTTATCAACAGGGTTGTTAAAATTATTGTTGCGATGATAGAGGTGGAGGCTAGCGGCGACTCCCAGCTGGTCTTAGCGGTGTTCGCCCCACGGACGTAACCATATCATCATCAGTGAAAGATTTTAAATGTTGCGAATCAAACTTTAGATGAATGGATATTTAGAAGAAAAAAAATTGGAAAAATTGAAAATCGCTCCCACCACTCCCCCCTACCCCTTTCCCCGCCTCCCGCCCTTCTCCAGCTCATGAAAGCAACCTACCCGCGTAAGCTCTATACCACCATCACTCGAATTCTTGTCTTGGTTCAAAGCCAACCTAGTTTTTGCTTGGGGAAGAACTTCACGACTGCAGCACACCTTCAACGCTGTTTGTAACTTGAATGTTCAAACATTCTCTCTGCATCAATCGCCTCGGCCTGGGTTTTAGGATAGGGTACACTGCTTATTATGATGCCAAGTGACCAATATGATAAGTCCGCTGTCGTACATTTCACAGTACCATTCTGACCCATCGTTTTGTCAGGTATAGCATTTTTTTCATCTGGCATCAACGTAGACACTAATATGTATATATATATATATATATATATATATATATATATATATATATATATATATATATATATATATATATATATATATATATATATATATATATATATATCATGTAGATCCACAATGAAAACATGGATAAGATAAACCTTGATAAAATCACACGGGAAAAGGGAAACAACGGAGCACCTTAGCTTTCCTCTTTATTCAAGACATCTTCAAAGATGTCTTGAATAAAGACGAAAGCTAAGGTGTTCCGTTGTTTCCCTTTTCCCGTGTGATTTTATCAAGATATGTATATATATATATATATATATATATATATATATATATATATATATATATATATATATATATATATATATATATATATATATATATATATATATATATATATAAACTGCAAGCTCTTTATAATCTATTATGATCAGCCTTCTGAACACAGTCCATGTGCCAAAATTTATCGACTTATTATTTCAATACGTTGGTCTGTACAAAGTACTTTACTCTCCACTCTCAGTTGGCAGCATACACTGTCCAACACACTGACAACACCACCAACACATAATACCTTAAGTAAAAGCAACTCCAGGATCCTGCTAGGGTCTTGGCATAATTACTTACCTCATTACCGTTCACGGATTAATTTGCTCTAATTTGGACTAATCTGAATGAGAACCGGTCCAGCCCTTGGGAATAATTTCTGTAAACATCATTAATGATCCCAAGTAACGTCAGCAGCCCGTCGTGGCCTAGCAAGGCGTCTTACACATGAACAATTTAACTTCATTTGTTAGATTGTTGACACACCTAGACTCAGTCGTTCTCGAGATGTAACTAATCTCAGGTGTCAGAACTGCAGCCCAGAGAAACATTCCTGGCACCGGTGGTCTTGATGCCAATGTTAACAATCTTAGTGGCACTGGTAATTACTGCTAGTGTTATTAATTCAAGTGTCACCGGTAGTGTTGATGCCAGTGTTACCAAACCAAACTCACTTGTGGCCACAGAGGTCAAACAAGTAAAGGTCATATAGCTAGTTAAGTCTGTATATCTTAGTTGCCATTTTACTTAAGATTCAGACAATCAAAACATAATCAGAAGTTATAATGATAACCTCTATATAAATATTGTAGCTTCTCTTAGATCATTATTTTTCCGTCCTATAGTTGGAAAAACTGAAGGCTCCTCGTGGACCATTCTTACGCGACGAATATTGGAACACTGTATCCACATTCAAGTTTGTTTTATAAACGTTATAAAAAATTATTATATTCTTGAAAAAGACTATAAGAGCAACATTAATGGGAGCATTTACCTCATTAATTCTTGTTTGATCCAAATCCCGTGTCACCACAAACTCGTCAAGTAATAAGATAATTGTTGTATATCATCTAAGTAACACCAGTTGGTGATCAAATTCATCAGGTGTATAATTTTGTCACTGTATATTCTGTTCAACCACCAACGTTTGTGCTGAGGAACAACTGAGTGTAGAAACTTTATAATGGTGGGAGGGGGACGCTCGCCACACCACACGTTGACAGCGACACTTGGCGCTGACATACAACTGACCACTAAGACTCAATAACGTTTAATAAATCGCGTAAAACAAAATACCATTGGTGTTAATGGTTCATCTTATGATTAAGTAAAACACGGTCTGAATGATATAAAAATTCAATATGTAATTACCGAAAAGTTACATAAAGAAATCGTGTCCGTCTTTGTCAAGAAAGATGGATGGATAGCCAGAGGCTCTGTACCGCCCCTGGGAGCCTTATTCTCATGTATAATATTGATAGTTATTAACAATTCGACTTTGTACAGCCGAAATACTTAAAAAAATCAATGATATTAAGTCATTGTTTAGTGATTTTTATTTATATTATAACGGACGTCAGGCAAATTCAGGGAATGTTTACGCTTCTCTCTCTCTCTGTCCGATTCTCCTCCTTCTCTCTCTCTCTCTCTCTCTCTCTCTCTCTCTCTCTCTCTCTCTCTCTCTCTCTCTCTCTCCTCTCTCATTATCCACGGACACGCCATTTTGCTTCACCTCTTCACCTCTGTATTAGTCCTCATCATTCCAAACCACAGGGACTTCCCTCCCTCCCCCTCCCCGACCCCACCCTATCCCACCCCACCCCTCCCTGCGTTCTGGGACTTGTAATAGAGATATAATCAGCAGGGTTCCACTCGCTCTGGCTTATAGGGTTAACCCATGCCAAAATAAATAGTGATAAAGAGTTCGTATTCTTACTCATAACTTGGGAACTCTATACAATTTGCTCTCAGAAATTATTTAAGACGAGTCCTCGATTTATGCTCTGTTTTTATTTTATTTTTATTTTATTTTTTATGTCTTTTGTGTTTTATCATAAGACACTTGTATATTTTCTTATAAACTCTGGCTACTTCACCCAGTTAGTATTAGAGTAGGAGTCACTGAAGTATAAGGACGGTGTTGATTAATTAGTCTCAGGTACCACACCTTTACGACGACCAACCATTTATAACCATTCCTGATTTTCTCAACTAGCGCCACCAGCTAGTACTGAACCCTCAGGCTATGAATAAGAATACAAACCACGATAAATATTAAAAAATATAATAATAATAATAATAAATATTAAAAATAGTAACTAGCTGATATCAAAGTAGTTTTGTAGCTGACTAGCGGAGACAGTTAGTGATCCTTAAGTTGTCTTGCCCGCCATCACCACTTCACAATTTCCATATATAACTAAAAAAAAAATAAATATATATATATATATATATATATATATATATATATATATATATATATATATATAAATTTTGTTTTAATTACAGGTATGTCTTTATTTATGTATTCCACACTTGTCATTATTAATAAGTGTATTTTCTCACTATTACTGTAATAGTTCATGGCTGAAAAACGGTTAATTAAAATCTGTGTGTGTGTGTGTGAGTGTCTGTGTAAGTGGGTGTGTTAATATACATATATATACACACATGGCATTCATACACACATATACAGTACACACATACACACACACACACACACACACACACACACACACACACACACACACACACACACAGTTAGATGGTGGGTGAAGTCACAACGCCAGTGGACTATAACCTGAAATATATATATATATATATATATATATATATATATATATATATATATATATATATATATATACAGTATACCCCACAAGGCACCACTATAGGTGAGATAATATTCTACGTTTTCTCCCACCTGTTGTCTTACCTTTGATTTTGTGAGTTGCCTTGTGCTGAACTCTGTCTCCTACACCACACATTATCTTCAGTTTGCTCGGTTTGGTTGACGTGTTCTCTGTGAATTATAGCTCAGATTTTCTTGGTTTTTATATATTATATATATAAGTCAAGGACATAGTCGCTCGCGCTCCGGTATCCTCAGCCACGGTTCATTAGATGGGTTTATGGTTTATGAGGAAGGTCTCCGTAACTAGTGGGGTTTAAGAGTCACACATCAACAATAAATGATCGGCAACACTCCCGCTTGGTGTCCACGTTTGTTTATATCACCGCCTGGTATTACGACTGTGGGGTGACATTACCTACAACTAATA